CCAGGGCCGCCGCAGCTACTCGGAGCTGGCAGAGGGCGCAGCCTATGCCAGTGCCTCCCCTGCCTGGCTGCAGGCCGAGGCCGCCACACTCCCCAAGCCCCGCGCCTACGGCGGCGAGCTCTATGGCCCCGGCAGGCCGCTCAGCCCTCGCCGCGCCTTCGAGGGCATCCGCCTGCGCTTTGAGAAGCAGCCATCAGAGGAAGAGGAGTGGGCCATGCCGGCCAGCCCACCCAGCCCCGAAGCGGGCACCATCCGCTGCGCCTCATTCTGTGCGGGTTTCCCCATCCCGGAGTCACCTGCAGCCACCGCCTATGCCCACGCTGAGCACGCACAGTCCTGGCCATCCATCAATGTGAGTTGTATACTGCTTCCCTTAACCTGGGTACCGTGAGGTGCCAGGAGAGAGCCTGCTCTCCCTCTGGAGTCCCACCCTGTTCCTTATCCTCACACATGGTAGGCAGGGGCAACCCCGTAAACACACCCTAGCTTAGTATAGACCTTCCTCTTCCTCTCCCTCGGTTTCCAATTGGTAGTAACAAGCTCCCATGCCACCTGCACTGTTAGAAACATGGTCCTCAAAGTCCTAGCTTTGATTTCGACTCCACTGCTTAGTGTCTGAAGAACCTCATTCAAATTCTGTCAGTTTCCTTATCAGCAAAATGAGGGCGAGGGCACTATTACCTTAGAGAGTTTTAAGGAGGCAATGATCCTAAAGCAGTTCTCCGATGTGTGGCTCAAGCGTACTATTATGTTGGTGCGGAAGGACAGGGATACTAAAGGGACAGAATATGGCCCCACACAGGGACAGGCCTGCCTATCAGGTTCCATACTCGAAGTCTCAGATCCTGGACTCTTTTCTGTTTGTTCTGCATGATAACCTGTTCCAGTGGTCCGTCATTTCACAGAAGTGATGAATTTCCCGAGAGTGACCGGAATTTTGGGGTTGGACATGGTTTGCAGTTGTCCAGTGCTTTAAGTTAGCTGTGTCTGAGTCACTCTGGAGGCATGTCAAAGTCCTGGTTTCCCTCATGACTGGTGTACCCCAGCTAACTGAACAGGGACTTTTTAAGACCCTTTTTAAGACGCACTTTTTAAGACCTGTGCCCTGGGCAAAGAATGAGGTTGAGGATAGAGCTGGAGAAAGGGTAGCCGGACCCTCTGCATGCTGCAGCCCACCCTATTGCGGGTCCTAGGAAGGAGCAGGCTGGGGTATGAGGCAGGCTCTAAGTGCTTTCATTCTCTCCCGGCAGCTACTGATGGAGACGGTGGGCTCTGACATCCGCAGCTGCCCCCTCTGCCAGCTGGGTTTCCCTGTCGGGTACCCGGATGACGCCCTCATCAAACACATTGACTCCCACCTGGAGAACAGCAAGATCTAGGGCGCCTCTACCCCGGCTGGCTGATTCTCTGCTCTCTTATCTCCCCCCGAACACTCACTTTGAATGCTGCATGAATCTCGTGGGGGGCCCCTGCCCCTTGCGTCCCCAGATACCTCCACTAGCTACCGAGTCAGTGTGTCTTCCCTGGCCCAGGCACCGCTCAGCTCGGGCTCTTTCCAGGAGGTTGACCAAGGCTCTCTCCATCTTCCTGATTTCCTCTGGGGAGTGGGGTCTGGTCTGAAATGGGGAGGATATACCTTCCATCTCTCTCTCTCTCTCTCTCTCTCTCTCTCTCTCTCTCTCTGCTTTTCTGGTTTTCAACAAGGTTGGATCCAAGCAGAAGTCTAGTGCTTGGGGGAGGGAGAGGAAGGGTCAAGAGCTCCGGGAGCCCCTTTCCAAATGTCCATCTTCCCCGGGCAATGTTCTTCCGGGGAGGACCTCTTGAGAGGGTCTCAGAGCCTGCCCTGCACACTGATGCCAGCCCTCTGTCTCATGCCTGACCAGCCTTGGACTCGTGGTATTGAGGAAGGAGGCATCTTGTTTCTCGTTACTCTCTGCAGGCTAACTCTGTTCTCCCCCTCTGCCCACCCGAGGGAACAGGGAATGTGGCAGAGGTGTGGGAGGACCCTGCAGGCCTTGGATGATCTAGCCCAAAGGGGCTGCCTTGAGGCTGGGGACTCCTGGGCCATTTCCCTCTCAGTCCAGGGGATGGTCGGTCTGCCAACCTCACAGGCCTGGGCCCTTCCAGAGTCCCTGGCACTAAAGAGCAGATCATCAAGGCAGATGCCTCCATGCTCCCCCACTGCAGCTCCTGACACCATAGGTGCCCCGGAGCCCAGGTGTGACTCCGCCTGTGTTTGCTGGGTGGGTGTCATCAGCCCCTCCCTCCCAGGCCAGAACCCGAGAATGGGCCCAGGGTGCTGTGGAGATCAACTTCAAAAGAGCTAATCCCCATTCCACACCCACCCACCCAACCCTAAATTCCCTCTGTGAAATCTACCTCAGAGCCGTCCCCTCAGAAAGACAGGGGAGCGGGAGGCTGGGGCCCCAGGCTGAGGTGGGAGCCTCCTGAGGGAGCCTGCTGCCCACTATGAATCCACCCCTCACTTTGAGCCTCCCTGGGGCCTTGGCCAGCTGGTGGCAGTGAAAAGCACCGTCCATCGCTTGTGCCATTCTGATCCAAATCTTCCAGGCCCTCTCCCCACACCCCTCCTTCCTCTGTGTAGGAACGAGGGGTATGTCAGCAGGGAAGGGGCCAAGGACTCCAGAGATGCATCATTGTACCCTGAGTGTTCCCTAGGGAGGGGACATGGGGAAGGGGGCCTGTAGAGGGGAGAGAGGGCCCTGTGCTCTCTGAACAAGTTGAAAGTCCAAATAAAACTTACCTGTTCCATCTGCTCTCAGCCCGTGCTTCCATGGGTCGGGAGGGGCCTTGAACCTCACTTGGGAGGTCTTAGAAACTGTCTTGGGAACCATAGGCACTGCGGAGCTGGCACTAGCAAGTGTGGGTGGCCCACATTCTGTGATTCTGTTGATACTGGCTGCTGGTTACACATGGCTTATGTCTTCATTTAGAACAGGTGTGAAGCAGTCGCCTACCCCTGTAGGTACAGGGATTTTTCCCGTCAGCACACCTGGCCTGCAGAAGTTCTGGGGCCGTTTTCATTGATCAGTAGCCCTTATTTTTCTGATAGCTTTCTCAGATAGTTCAAAATGCCAGGAACCAAGCTGAGACAACGTAAAGAAGGAAATCTATATTCTGTGTCCTCGTGGGTCTAAGACTAGGGCGGAGCTAGGCTTCAGGCGCAACTGTTCCCTCAAAGACCTCAGGTTTGGGAGGCCAGAGCTGGGTCATGAATTCATGACTTTTGCCACAGCCTTGGCTGTGCTCTCTGAGAAAAAAAGAAAAAAACAAGTCTGAGTTGTTCATTCATTGACTCTGTCTTTCATTCCCATGAGACCTTTTTTAAGCCGCATGGTCACTTAAAAGCAGCACACACAGGGGAGGACTGGAGGGTGTGGCTTAGTGGTAGGACTCTTGTCCAGCCTGCACAAAGGCTCTGGTTTGAATCCCTGGTACTGGAAAGAAAATACGAAAGCAGGGCGTGGTGACCCATGGCTTTAATCCCAACAGCCAGGAGGCAGAGACAAGCAGATTGCTGAGTTTGAGGCCAGCCTGGTCTACAGAGTGAGCTCCAGGACAGCAAGGACTACAAGAGAAACCCTTTCTCGAAAAAGAAAGAGAAAGAGAGAGAGGACATGGAGGCCTTTGCTGATCAGTGGTTGGGGTTCAGCTCTAGAACATGGCAGCCATCCCACCACACGCAGCAAGGGCCAGCCTCCCGATTTCAACCACGTCTGCAGCCAGGACCTCGCTGAGTGCAAGGAAAGGTAGACCACCTTGCAGATGTGCCTCACGGCCCTGACAAAGAAGATTCTAGGACATCTGGTATATGAGTGCTTAGTGAGCCCTGTGGCTCCAGAAGCACTGGCTTCCGGACTAGGGATGTTCTGGGAACACAGAAGGCGAGGGAAACACTGAGCCTTGAGAAAAGTGGCGAAGGAGGGCATGAGATGAGCTGGCACATGGGCACAGGCCGGCCTTGAGTCTGTGACTGAAGATGGGAGGAAACCCAGGTATCCTGGTATCCTTCCCTGTCATCAGGGTGAAGAGAGCATGGGGACATAGGGAGCAGACTCTGGCAGCTTGTCTCCTTGATTTCTAGGGACTTGGGAAAGGCTCGGGTAAAGAGCAGAATGTTGCTGGGGGCTGGAAGAGAAGGCAGGGAAGGAAAAAGGCAGCGTGTTCCCCTCTAGGTCCCCTCCACAGCCACAGACTTCCATTGCCACTGAGGGGAGAGGGCTGGTGACCCTGCCACTCTCGTCCCTCCCACATCTCCAGCAGGACTGCCGCCGCCACACAGCACTTTTGCTATGGATTGTTCTCTGCAGCCCGGAGGGCGACAGGATGGGGATTGAGAATTGCAGGGTTCGGGGACCAAGAGGTTAACGTTTCTAGGCTCCTGAAAACAAGGCGGAAGATTGGAACTACTCCCACTTGAGCGAGGTGGAGGGGAGACCCCTGAGAGGATAGAAGAGATTCCTGGGGCTCCACTTGCTCTCCCCAGCACAGACCCGAAGACCATGACCATGTGTCTGTAGGGGTGAGGGAGAGGACTCAGCAGGAACCAAATCAGCCAGGGCATATCTCCATCCAACATTCTCTCCAGTTCTGCCCTGCCCCTCAGGGTTTCTCCAACTGGAGGTCCCTGGCTTTGTCGGGTGATCTGCTGAGGGGGTGACAGCTCTATGTAAAACCTGTGGCTTCTGTTGAAAGGAGCCAATCGATAATAAAAAAAAAAGGGGGTGCGTGGATGAGTGAGTCATGTTAATGAGAAACACCTCACCCAGCTGATTAGGGCTGATGAAGACGGGGGTGGGGTTTTCACTGGGTGCCAACTTTATAAGGTGGGGGAGCAGGCCACCTCTCCTTCAGCAAGAGTATAAACAGAGCATATTTGGCCACCTCAGGGAGAATTGAGACATGAAAGAGAATGAAGCATTAAGGACGGGCGGGGCGGGGGTGTGTGTCTTCTTCAACGGGAGAAGTGGCACGGGGCGACTAGCCAAGGACAGAGAGCAGCGAGATGTGAAACCCACGGGCGCTGTCCTGTTCTTTCTGCCCTTCCTCTACGTCCACTCCTGTGACTTGAGAGAGTCTCAGTGGTCCAGAGAACTCCTCGCCAACTCCTATCCTCCACAGGTTCCCATGAGATCTAGTTCCATCCACAGGGGGTTCTGAGCCCAGTATTACAAAGTTGCTGGCCCTGCCCAGAACAGCCTTGGGAGGGAAGCTCTGGCTTGAGGTCCTGGTCCATGGCACTCACCAGAATCTCTGCAGTTGCTAAGACACAAATCAATGTTCACAGCCTGAGACCTGGTGGGACCTGAGGGCAGGAGGGGCAGGTGCAGCGAAGGACTCCTCCGAGACCCACTCTGTGCCTGCCCTGCCCTCTGAGGACTACGCCTCAGCCTGCAGCTTTGGCCGCTCCCCCTGCCACTCTGGCCAAGGGCAGAGTTACCAGCCGCTTTTCATAGATGTTCCAGGCCGCTGTGTTAGTGTGGGCATAGGGGAAGGCAGGGAGGAGCCGAGGACAGGATGGGTGTCACCAGCACCTCCAGCACCTCCTCATTTGCATTGCCACTGACACCCTTCTTGACCAAGAAAATGGAGCCAGAAATAACAAGGGGGGAAAGTGGTTCCCTTGGGGGGATGACTTTGAGAGGCTCTTTCCCTGCCTCCAACTCTCCCACGGTGCTAGGGACAGGAGGTCAGCTTCACAGCTGGTCTGGGGGAGAGGAAGTACACCCACTGTTGCTCATCCAGGCTTAGACTAGCAGACGCCCCATCCCAGCCTCTGGCCGCTCTCGACCCCACACGGCTCCAGCACTCCACAGCCCTACCCGGTGAGCCCTGTCTCTGAAGTCCTCCCAGCTGAGAAGTGGCCTCTGTCCATGTTCGTTCCCCCGTCTGTGGTCTGTCTTCCCCATCAGATGGAACCTTTCTCAGATCCTGAGCCGGGCTCTCCCATTTGTCCATCTGCAACGCAAGAAGACATTCCACACCGGACACAGTCCAGCCAATATCAGCAGAGCGTACCGCTAGAGTCTATGGCGGGAGATAAATCAGAGCCCAGTGTGAGTCAGAGCCCAGAGAAACCCTTCCTCCTGGGGCTCCCAGTTCCAATGGAGAGCATCGTTACTTGAGTAAGGTCTCCACATGTTGAGCCTTGCCTTCATGAGGAAGAGGGAAGAATTAGGACCACTCCTGCTGGCCTTGTACATGATAGGAAGAACTCTACCATTGAGCTGCCATCCCAGCCAGCCATTTTTCTTTTCTCAACCTGAATGAAGAGTGTGGCTTAAACCCTCACCCACACCTTTGATGTTCAAATTGTGTATGTTAAATCTACTTCTTCCCCCCAGGGGCAGCTACAGCAGAGGGTGGGGGCACAGGAGACAGGAGGTAGGGTGGGCCGAGGTCAGTGGGCTCTCTTCCTGGCAAGAGGTCCTAGGAACCAGGAGGGTGAAAAGGCAAGGGTGCAGGCAGAGCAGAAGGGCTGGGCAGGGAAACCAGGTCGCGAGAGACAGCAGGGAGAGCTGTGAAGGCTCCGCGCGAAGGAGTGAACAATGACTGAGAACTCCCCTCACTCCCCCCCCCCAGAGATGCTATTTTGAGGGGAGAGAATGTATGCAGCACAGGGGTAGTGTGGGAGGCTGCCAGCTTCCCCAGGGGTCAGCCAGCTGCTTGCTGCTTTTCCTCTCCCAATCATCTTCCTTGGCCTCAGCACCTTCTAGGACCACTTTCTCCCCTGAAGAAGTCCTTTGATTCCTGAGTGAGAAGGGAAGGAATGAGCCGGGAGGTCTGGAGCTGGCCTCTGAGCACCTCCCTGGAAGGTCCCTGCGGCCTCTGATAGAGGGAAACATTTCTGGGGTCATTGAATCTGTGGTTGAAAATGTAGAGGGCACTGTGGAATGGCGACAGAGCATAGCTCATCAGGCTGGGCTCCCTAAAGCCTTCCTTAGGCCCTCTGGACCCCTATTCCCTCTTAGCATCACAGAGAGGCCTTGGTGGGTGTTGAGGGAGGTCTGTGTCTAGAACTCCACAGGCCTGCCTGAGGAAGCTAATCTCGCTCCTTGGCCTCCAGGGGGCTAGATGGAGGGTGCCCGCAAGCAGAGCCACTGCTTGGCACAAGGGGGAAATTCTTGCACCCCAGCTCAGCTCTCAAGGGCCCTGACTCATTTGGGGATGAAAGCTCTAATGCCCTGTAGGTTTCTGTGGCAGCTTGGGGCCAAAGGAGGAAAAGGCGAGGAGCTAGAGTGTGGCTGGAGATGAGTGTGGAGACTTTTGTTTTCATTTTTGGAGCTTGGTCATCTGTCTCCCCCAAAGGTATGGATTCATCTGAAGAAGGCTGGCTGGGGTGGGAAGAAAGGCACGTCCTCACTCAGCATGGGTTGCAGTAGAAGGAACTTTCAGAATGACAAAGGGATGCAGCAGCATCCAGCAGGATGCTAACCCTGGATGGCCCACAGTGGCTCCCTTCCTCCCTCTAAGGCTGGGGAGATTGGCCTGGCATCTGTGCAACGAGGGACACAAAGAGTTGAGTTGGGCACAGTGAACCACGATGAGCAGGCTGTCTGTAGGCCCTAGACAGGAGGGATGACGGTGGGTCCAGGTATCTGAAGGTTCAGGGACGTCCCTCAAGTCATAGCACAAGTAAGAGACTGGAGTTAGAAGGCCATCGGACCAGAAGACCTCCCGCCATCTCAAGTCTCCCCTTGCTGGGTTCTTGTCTTCAGGCCTTTTCTCTTCCGGCTTCACATACTAAGAGGTGTGG